CAGTCGTGGATAGGTAGTTACAATCATCAGGAGACGACGGATGGAGGCCTAAGCTCACGGAGGAGATGAGGGGAGGGGCCGGCGGTTTGCGCAGAGGCAGCAGCGCAGAGGCAGCAGCCCAGGCCAGGACGAGGACGAGGACGAGGAAGGAAGGAGATTCTGGTCGGATCGGAAGGTCGTTTAAGCCTCACCTCACCGCGATCCGATGGTGTGTGGCACAGCGGGGGTGGCTCAAGTCTTGGCTGACATAATGCCTCATCCCACCATGAACTTGACTCACGGAGCAGGATCAGGACGAAAGGAAAGAGCAAACACCACGCGAATCCAGCTCACGATAACCCTCGACGAGTCGACGAGTTGCCAAACACTGTTCGCAATGTCTCTGACAAACGCATCGCCCGCCGACTGCGCCCAATCGGCCAAGTTGGCCTCCCACGTTCTGGCGACCCTCCCCACATCAGCCCGCAACGACGCTCTCACAGCCATCCACGATGCTCTTGCTGCCTCCAAAGAAGACATTCTGAAGGCCAATGCCGAAGACGTAGAGCTCGCCCGGAAGGCAGCCGCCGATGGCACCTTGAGCCAGAGTCTCGTGTCCCGGTTGGATCTCGGCCGCAAGGGCAAGTTTGAGGACATGCTCAAGGGCATCCTCGATGTGCGTGACCTCGAAGACCCCATCGGCCGTCTCACTCTGCGCACCCGCCTCGACGACGGCCTGACCCTCGACCGCGTCACCTGCCCCATTGGCGTCCTTCTCATCATTTTTGAGGCCCGGCCCGAGGTCATTGCCAACATTGCCTCCCTCGCCATCAAGTCCGGCAACGCCGCCATCCTCAAGGGCGGCAAGGAGTCGACGCGGTCCTTCGTCGCCGTGGCCACCGTCATCGCCAAGGCCCTCGACGGCACCCGTGTGCCCAACCAGGCCGTCCAGCTCGTCACGACGCGCGACGTCATCCCCGAGCTCCTGGCCCTCGACCACCTCATCGACCTCGTCATCCCCCGCGGCTCCAACGAGCTCGTCCGCACCATCAAGAACACCACGCGCATCCCCGTCCTCGGCCACGCCGACGGGCCTCTGCGCCACCTATCTCGCCGCCGACGCCGACCCCACGCTCGCCGCCAACGTCCTCGTCGACTCCAAGACGAGCTACCCCGCCGCCTGCAACGCCTCGAGACGCTGCTTGTGCAAGAATCCGCCCTGCAGCAGCCCGACGGGCCCTTTGCCGCCGCCGCCCGCGCCCTGCTCGCGGCCGGCGTCACCCTGCACCTCGACGCCGCCTCCCAGGCCGCCGTCCGCGCCCTCGCCGCCGCCGACGACGCAGACGCCGTCCCCGCGGCCCAGCTCGTCGACGTCCAGCCCGACGACTACCGCACCGAGTTCCTCTCCCTCGACCTCGCCGTCAAGACGGTGCCCGACCAGGACGCCGCTGTCGCCCATATCCACGCCCACTCGTCCAAGCACACGGACCTCATCCTGACCGCCGACGCCGACGCCGCCGAGCGCTTCATGGCCGCCGTCGACTCGGCCGGCTGCTACTGGAACGCGTCGACGCGCATGGCCGACGGCATGCGCTACGGTTTCGGCACCGAGGTCGGCATCAGCACCAACAAGATCCACGCCCGCGGGCCCGTCGGCCTCGAGGGCCTCATGATCTACAAGTACAAGCTGCGCGGGCCAGGGCCAGGTCTCCCTGGCCTACGGCGAGGGCGACGGCAAGAAGCCGTTCAAGCATGAGAGGCTGCCGCTGGAGTGACGGCGCCGCAGCCGACCCTATTTCATGATGAATTGTTTTGTTTTCTCGTGAGCGGCGAACTGCATGGGCTTCTTCTTGGGGCGTTCATGAGTGACGCCCCTCAAACACGACGGGGCAGAGAAAGGAAGCGCCAAAAAGAGATGGACGCAAAATGTGTCTTGCGCATAGATAGGAACGCCCCGCTACAGGCTACGCATGAAGGACACGAAGCGAGGGCCAGTCGCAGAGGGGCGCAAGTCAAAAGTCGGGCCAAGTTTTTGTTTACGAAGACGTCGATACCCTCAACGGTTCCATGGCGGGGAGATGAATACAGGATTCCCAAACCCTAAACCCCCCTCCTCCCCCTTTCATGATCCAACCGAACCTGCATCTTGTTCATATTCGCCATTCGTGCGCTCGTCTGATCTCATTAAACCACACACACACACACACACACACACGCCCCGTCATCCTATGCAAACGTAAGAAAAGAGAGGCAAAACAAAAGATGCCGCCTACACGCCGAAACGCCCGTACAGGGAGCCATCCCGGACCATGAGATGTGTCTGAGGGGGAGGCGGCCTTTTTTTCCCCTTGACTCGAAACAACCAAAACAGTCCCGGACATCAATGCGTCGGCCGTACCTGACCCCGTGCATCGTAAGACTTCATCCAGACATGACCATCATCCTTTCCTCCCCAGCTCATGTTCACCTCTTCCTCTCTCTCTCTCTCTCTTTCTCCGTGACCCCTTACTCGGCGCGTCCACGATAGTTGCCCATCTTTTCGATCGAGCTCATGATACCGCTGCGGCCCCCGAACCCCACTCCCTGGTCTGGGCAGGCCCGCCGCGCCACTCCTTGTCCGCTCGTGGTTCGCCGCGCCAGCTCTCTGGCAGGGAAGAAGGATGAGCTGCCGGCGCCTTGGAAACCGAACGCACCCTGACCTTCCTGGAAACCTCGGGTTGCGAATCCTTG